AAAACATTGCATTGGACTGGTGATGCACTGATAGCAGGTGCAATGCTCTGCAGGCTTCACTACAAAAGTTAGTAGATACAATGATACAATGATCGATGTGTATCATTGTATCCGTGTTGCTGCATTGACTACAAGATGAACTTATCCTGTAGAGCCCGGCTGCGGCCAAAATGTTTTTTAGGAGAAGGGTCAGAGATTCCTGTTAAGGTTTAAGGTATATGCCCAGGATAACTTTGTAGGTAAGGGTTACCACCCCTGTGTAGCTTTTTTTTTTCTTGCATCACCTGATGGCATTTCCGTCAGATGACGCACCACTTCATGCAGAACGTTGTTGCAATGACAGATGTTTCGGCATTCTCGTGTTTTATTTCTTTTGTTTGTGTCGGTGACGCAAAAAAAGTGGAGAAAAGAAAGCCAAATCTGACGCATTCCCCGCAAAACTCCAACAATGGACCGGACAAAATTATTGGCCCCCTCAATATTTGCCAGCACGGACCTTGGAAAAAATAACTGCAGTCAATGGCTTCTTGTCACCATCAATGAGTCTCTTACACCTCTCTGCAGGGATCTTGGAGCGCTCTTCTTTCGCCAACTGCTCCGAGCCTCTCACATTGAAGGTTCCTTTTCCCTCCACAGGAGCTCTATGGGATTCATATCAGGACTCCTTGCTGGCGGGTCCAGTACTCTCCGGCGCAGCGGCGTAACAATAGCCATAGCAGGCCACACTGCTGCTACAGGGCCTGGGGCTGGAAGGGGGCCCCATTAAGGATTGCAGAAGATGCTGTGACCCTGTGCCCCCTGTGACATGTCCAATCAGAAAGGGCTGACATCAGATGTACAGGAGGAGACTATGCAGACACCTCTCATGCTACCTGTCCTTGATTTAGATTTTAAAGGTTTGCTATGGGGCCCCGTGATCTGTAGTTACACCCCTGCTCCAGCGTTTTGTCTGAAACCATTGCGTCATTGTCCTGCTGACCCCTGACCTCTGACGGAGACCCAACTTTCTGACACTGGGCCCTACATTGGATGGATGGATGGATGTTTATGTCATATAGTATTACATTGATTCACAGGAAGTTGATCTCCTTTACAAGTTCAGAAATGAATGAAGGTCGGTACTTCCCCTTTAATTTCCATCTGCATCGGATTCGGAAGCCATCCCATCGCGCCGTCCATTCGTGGGCTTTATGACTCTGAAACTCCCTCTGTCAGATTCCTCTCGGCCCGCCGGTTGCAGTTCGCGGTTTGTGTCCCAGCGACCTTGACATGCGTCTGTATATTTTTAGCGTTAATGAATCGCAGCGAAGGGCATTTTTTGTTCTCCGCGTTGTC